TTTTGTTTTGGGGGGGGGGGGTAAGAGGAGGCTGGAGAACGAGAAGGACAGAGGGTTAGCAGTGGGGAGGGAACATCACAACATTCAGAAACACACAGAGGAAAAAAGCCTACATTCTGGTGGATTAGAAGAATAGCGCCACTGCTTCCAAAGGACATGACCTAATGAATCCAGCCTTGCAGACAGACTTCTTTCAAGAGAGAAGGAAAAAAAATGAAAGAAGTTGAAATCTTTTTAATGTCTTTGGTTGCTTGAAGGTCATTCTACATAGCTCTTCCCCTCAACAGCCTGTTTTCTGTTAAATGAGCAGTCATTAAACATTATGACTTCTGTCTTAAAATTCACGATTTCTGCAGACTTTTCCTCTTTGGAGGAGTTTTGATGCTTCTTAGCCCAGCCACTCCTTACACATTCCCCAGAAAGACCAAGACGAGGAGCAGAGATGCTCTTTTTGCTCGGAAAAAATCAAGATTTTGTACATTTACTGTGGCTTGGCCAGCAGTCAATTCTGGTTGCTGCTACAGCCAGTTGAATCATGAGATGCAACTGAAGAACAAACAACTGGTGTGTTCGTAGGTTCTCTCGAACTTTCCTTTCAGGAGTGTTGAATGGTGAGATTGAAGACTAGTCCATCCAAAAATTCACGTGCCATACAGCTAAAGAGAGACTTAGGTTCAAAAAAAACCCTGGATTCCCATACTCTTAAGCTGCTACGCACTGTAAGAGCGCCTCTTCCTTGCAGCTCTTCCATCAAACTTCTTTGCTTTGAAGTCCACCCCAAGTACAAGTAGGGAGAAGGACTGATGCTCAAGACTCCTGCAGTAGATTTCTCCAATATGGCTACACAGTCAAAAGCAACAGGGAAGTGTGAACTGCACTTCAGAGGAAGCATCTAGCCTGTGAATGATAGCATTTCTTTGCAGATTTGTCTGTATTTGTTATACTGCACAGGCAAATCCTAACCTGAGGCTAATTTTTAGTCCAAAGCTCACTTATAATCTGCTAGCCAAGTATTTTTTTTTCCCCTCAGGGGCAGCACTTTCATAAAATAGCATAGAACCTAAAGTCGCATTTGAATTTATGGAGCTACTGATATGCTTTAGGAATGTTTTATCAAAGTATATCATGTCATCTTTTATCAGCATATGTGCTTACACAAAAATCTAATACCAGCAAATGAAACTGGTTAGCATTCAGCAGAACAGCATTAAGAACAGATTGTGTTCTTAAGAAAACTAAAGCACAATCCAGCAAACACTGCATCAGTTCTTCTTACTTCCCATATGCTCCTTCCAACAAAAGCATTAGAAATCGTGAATAGTAACATCTGATATTCTCCAGTTAGGTCAGGTCAGAAAATATCACATCATAGAAATTTATTCTAGTCATGATCTTGCTGCATGTAACTGAGTCAACACTCAGTGGTAGCTTTTCCAGTTCTTCCAATATGCTCCACTAGATCACTAGACCAGAGAGCATGCAAATATTTTCAGAATGTTTGCACAAAATCACATCTGAAGAGACAAGCATGGAAAGATGGGTTTGTCGCTGTGAAAGTGTTTCATTTTGATTTTTAAGACAGATAAAGAAAAAGCCTTAAAAGGGGATTACGAGAGGCTGTCTGTTAATCTGTTCTATATGATGCCAAGTCTTCTCAGTGTTAGTGCAGATGCTGCAATATTGGGAGCATCTGACAAAGCAGAAGAAGGAACAGATAGGGCAATACTCAGTCCTACACACAAAAGCAATGGTAAATCTGAAAGACATCACATTTTTTCATTTTCTGTTCTCTTTCCTTACTATTTCATTTGAGACAGCAACACACACAACTCTTCACCCACTTGAGGCTGCACTACAGCTGTAACAGTTGCTCCTGGACTTGTCTAGAAAAAGCTCAGAAGGGCTCAGCTCAGCTGTTCCATCAAACTTCTTTGCTTTGAAGTCCACCCCAGCCAAGTTTAAACAGTCGACAGACCACAGGGGAGCTACCACCGCACCAGAGACCAGAGCCAAAAAATATATATATACTGCTTCTTCACACAGCTTTCTAAATTACAGAAGATGAGCACAACTCTGATCTCAAAACAAGTCCAGATTTTCTCCAGGCAAGTTGACCTGCAGTAGCACCAGTTTTGCTTGCCTACTTTATGCTGCACATAGCTGAGCTATATGCTAACTCTCCCCTTCCAAGCCATGGCCATACAATGAAACGTATGGCAGAACCACGAGCTAGCTTAAATCCACCCAAGCCTCATTTGCAGCCTCTTCTTTCAAGTGTTGACACTGCTTAAGAAATCCATGGTAACCCACCACAGTCCAACAGCAAGCACAGACTGGAAGCTTGTGAGCTCTTTGCTTGGGAAGGGGTGACAAAAAGAAATGCACACATCAGCCTGCATGCCAACACAGACTAAAACTGGAAGAGGCTTATCTGCCCCCAGACAGAGAGGGCAGGCTAACCTCCTGCAGAGATTAGCCTCATCATTTTACGCAACACCTGAGTTTCCATAGGTACTTGAGCTCCTCCTTTCAGCTCTTCATAGCCAGAAACAAGAGAAGTTAAGAAGCCAAACATCGCGTTGCTAGTCTCCGAGTCTCCGTAAAACGCAGGCCACGCAAAACAAGCTGGGTTTCTGAGCAGTTACCATTGACATTTTAAGCCCATTTTATGACACTGCAGTGAAGCCCCATTAAAAGATTGGTAAGCTGGTATGAGACGCTGTTCAACCTCTATGGCAAGCAGACCTAGAACTGTCAAAAAATAAATGAAGGTGGAAGATTCAAGAATATGAAAAAACCTCCTCTGGTTTGGCTTACAAAAACAAATAAAAAAACCCAGGAGAAACAGCAGCTATCAAAATATAGCTGATGTCAGAAACACACTGCATTGCTTGAGATTTCACTCATGTTGTGCCACTACAGATCTTCTGAGTTTGGATGCAAAGTCAGCATACAAAAAATTTACCTGTTCATCAGCAAGCTAAGCACAGCAAAAATGACAAAATATTACAGCTGAAGAGGTTTCTTCCTCCCTCTAAGCAGCACTACGTTTCATTTCATCATGTGGTTAGCTAGTACCTGCTGTGCCAACTTGCCTTACTGTTTCATTGAAGTCACTTAAGAAATCTACTTCGAATTAGCTTAACTTTTCTGTAAAGTATAGACAAAAAAAAAAGCATTAAGGAGTATTACATGAAAGGAAGATTAAGAAAGTACTTCTGAGAAAAAATTCTCACTAGTTTAAAAAGAATCCGAATGAGATACTAACTTTAGCACTGCCATCTTGGGAAAGGGCAGAATCTCAGAGTTTTCATCATGATATTAGCAGTGGTTCCATCCACCTAGAATTCACAGCACATTTCCAGCTAGACAGCAGTCTGAACTCCTGCCAACACAGTCCAGCCACACATATGCAGGCCTCGTCCAGCCTGCAAGCCCATCTGTCCAGCCTCGCTCCCTTCATTCCAGGAAAAGGTGGTGAACAGCCGTCAGAAACCACACTCACTGCTTTCAGCTTGCATGTTCTCTGTCCAATGTCTGTTACTTCCATAACACTGATATTTATTAATGTACTCAAGCTATACTTCATCAGGGTGCTTCTTTATGCCTCAGGAGCAGTGATTCAGTTGAGAAAGGTCAGCATAGGGAGCATACTGTCACAGTGGTAAAGCTGGAAACGGACTGAGACCAAACAGGCACGGATTCTCATGTGCAGCCTCGTACATGCTGATTATCTCAGCCTTTGCAGAAAGCTCCAGCTGAATTACAGGATCATAGGACAAGTCAGGCTGGAAGAGACCTTAGGAAGATAGCTTGTTCAATTTCTTGCTCCAAGCAGGGTCAGCTATGGGGTCAGATCAAGTGCTCAGGCACTAGATGTTCAGTCCAGTCTTGAAAAGATCCAAGGATAGGGACTAATACAGCCTCTCTGGGCAACCTGTTCCACCACTTGACTGTCCTTATGGTGAGAAAGTTTTTCCTTACATTCAGTTGTAACGTCTCATTTCAGTTTGTCTACTGCCGCTTGTCCTTTCCATACCTGGATGGGACAATGATGAAATCACAAGGAATTGCAGTCTACAGAACTGTACTTTCCAGGGATAATGCCAAATAGGTTTTAATTATTTATTTATTTAATTTTTTTTTTTTTTTTTACATAACTCGTTCTAATACTCATAGAAAAAGCAGAAGCCTCCTTGAATGCCACATACTCAATACACATAGAAAAAGCAGAAGCCTCCTTGAATGCCACATATCCTCCTGCACAGGCAAATTCTACAACACAGATTCACAGAATGGTTGAGGTTGGAAGGGACCTTTAAAGATCATCTAGTTTAATCCCCTGCTCAAGTAAGGTCACCTACAGCATGTTGCCCAGAACCCTATCCAGGTTCCTTCTGAACATCTCCACTGATAGAGACTCCACAACCTTTCTAGGAAACCTGTTCCAGTGCTCAGCTACCCTCATGCTGAAAAGGTTTTTCCTCACGTACAGACTTCCTGTGTTTCAGTTTGTGCCTATTGCCTCTCATCCTATCACTGGCCACCAATGAGAAGAGTCTAGCCCCATCCTCTTTACAGATATTTAAACGCATTGATAACATCCTCCCAGAGTCTTCTCCTCCAAGCTAAATAGTCCAAGCTAAACAGAAAGGCAGGTCTCACAGCCCTTCCTTGTATGACAGATGCTCCAGCCCC